CCTCTCTTCCACAGGGTTATTCTGTGCGGATGCAAAGCCACACCAGTGACTACACAGACCTTGAAACGCCTTCCCACTGCAAGGGCCCAGCTGGGAGGAATATCTTTCTGGGACTTCTAATCTCAGTTCCTACCCTCTGCTGGTGCTCTTCCTCACTCACTGGATCCTCCACAGCACTGCTACAATGCAAATATATGCAACCCAAGGCTCATTTTGGAATAAATCAATCTAAATTAAAATTAATGAACAAAAAGTACAGAAACAGATCAAGCAATAAAGCCATTTCTCTTTCTTTCCCCCTGTGTTTCTCTTTTTTCTTTCAGAAAGCTCATTTCTTTTCTCTACACTTTTTTTTTTGGTGGGGGAAGAAGCAGACTGGTTCTTAATTTTTTTAAAGCAATCTCAACAAACAGAAGCTGTCTGTTGCTATTCAGAAAAACCCACCAAGCAATGTTGGTAGCTGTAGTATCAAATAATTCTTGGCATTTCTATTTTCCCTAAGATGCTGTTTCTGGCTACATCTATACTACCCCCTCTTGGAAGACACAATCATCACCATTGACTTTGATATTATTCACTTTAAACCACACAGTCAAAATAAAATACAGTGCTATCCCTTGCCTGGTACCTATAAAATAGCAAGAAGCAATTAATATTATATTGGCTGCCTGCCTTCACCCTGTCTTGTCCTTCCTCTTCCCTTGGTCTGAAACCCCCACAGGCCTGGCACCCAGTGGGCAGCACTGGCAGGGACAGACAGTGACTGATCAGCAAGAGAAGCCTGGTCTGTCTGAGCGTCCATTCTGCAGAGCCAATCCCTTTTGCACTCCCTAAATGGAGAATGAGTTCTTTGGAAAACCTGGCTGGAAGCACCAGTGAGAAGCAAGGAGAACCATGAGTTGTGCTTCCTGCCCAGGGTCATGGGCGTTATCAGCTGCCAAAGTGAGGCATGCTCTGAGTAGTCAGGCATACATCACTGTGGAGTGACCAGAACAGCTGAACTGTGGCCCTCAAATGCCTTAGAATTTATGGAAATACCAGATTTGCACATGGCTCGAAATATGCCCTCCTGTGCTTGGTCCCTATGACCATTATTTTCCCCTGCTCTTTATTTTTTTTCTCTATTTCTCTGTCAGGATCACAATCAGGCAAGATTGTCTATTTTGGCCTGTTCATGCTACGGCTTCCCCAGCTCTGCCAACTAGTTTGTTTCAAAGGCTCGAAGGCTTGGATTTTCACTGACCCTTTCCTGGAGCTCAGATGAGGAAGCACCCTCTGGCCTCAGTGAAGAGAACTCCAGAGATGGATGGGTTCTTTTAGCTGGTTGTATTGGGAGGGCTGGATTCTGCAGACTGTTCCCACACCACTGCCTAGTCAGCAAACCCCCATAACATGTTAATCCTTTACAGTCTGTAGTCTCTGTTGTAAACCCTCATGCTTCTCTCCTTAGCTTTGAAATACTCAGATGTCCATCTTTTGACCAAAGCAGACCCCGCTGACACAAGAGCTGCAGGCTCAGCAGAACTGGCAGGGTCATGCACTAGAGAAAGCAAAAGGGGAGCAGGGATGGGTGGAGGTCACCACTGCAACAGATGAGCTTTCTTCTCCCCAGCCAGGACCTCCATAGAGAGGAAAGAGGACTGAGAGAGTATTAGAAAGAAAGATGCTCTCTGGTCATGAAACTCAAATGAACATCTCTCTCCCCCAGCTCCCACCCACCTGATGAAGGCATTAGTGACAGTACAGGCTACATGGGCTACAGCTAAATGGAGACTATCTACAATCTACAGCCATACAGGGTCATTCTCCGATCAGTGCACGTTTTGGCAGAAAGACAGAACTGGTCATTCTCCTTTTCCCTCCCCCTCCACTAATTGCTAACATACTACTGCTATAAATCTTTTGTCAACCAGTTGATGGCCATGACTTTGTCTGTTCAGGCCCCAAATACTGACATGCTTGTTGCCCTTGAGCAGCTCTGGATGTGCTCCTTTCTGGGAAACAGCACATCTCCCTTGCAGAGCTCCCAGGGCATCAAGCTAACCATGCTGAGAAAGCCTCTAGTTAGCCTGTGGTAAGCCCTCATCACAAAACTCCTGTGAGGAAGACTCACAGGTTTTGAAGCCCATTAGTCTGGCTAAGCCATTCTGATGTGGACACTAGGTGATATTCACAGGGGAGGGACTCTATGCTCAAAGGGCTGAGGACAAGGGGCAATGGAGGACAAAGATGGAGCTAGTGCTATAATTGTATCAGAACCCTTAGTGCTTCAACAGTGACCACACTTGCTCTGTCATTGGCAGATCTGATGGGGAATGAGCAAATTCTCCTTTTCAAGAAGAAAAACCCTTTTGAAAAGGCACCTGATGATGCAGTAAGGCCTATGCTTTGTGACAGCCAGGTCTTGTGTCAGCCAATTAAAACATGATGTTACAATGCAGACACGAAGATGTGGCATCATAGCAGAAGACATTTCAAGGCATTTGAAGTGCCTGGCTGCAAAATTAAGAGGGCTGGAAAATTTACCAAAGGACAATTCAGTTGAGAGCTGAATCAGCTGGGCTCCACCAGCCTTTCAGGAAACTGCTTCATCAAATTCAAGTCCCATTTGTTTAGTTGAATGGGCTGCTTCTGAGTCTCCAGCCTGCCTGAAAGCAAGATATTTCCACAGCAGCTAGCTAATGATAGCTGCTTCATCTCAAAACATCTTCCTTTTAAATTAATGCTCAAAGCCTCACATGGCAGGGAAGTGTTACTGAGGATTAAGAGAAATGGAAATTAAGGGAAAAAGAGGAAGAAGGCTGTGAATCTGGTCATTGAGGAGATGCTTATTTGAGAGCTGTGGACTACATCTCAGAACATCAACTCATAGGGAGGAAGAGGTCTAACAAGAAAATTTTATGCCCAAGGTTTCTTTGAAGGTGAACAGCAAAGTAAAAGCACATGTTGAGATAAGCACCAGTATCTGTGCTGACGGCCCACACTGCAGAAGCTGGTAGGGGCTTTCAGAAAACAGGTCGAGAGTATTTAAACTCTACTTTCCCCCTCTGCAAAATCCTCTAACTGTGTCCTGGGTCACTGGAGATATACCAGCATTTGGCACCACAAATTCCTGGAGACTCCTCACAGAAGTGATGTCACACTAGGATGTCCTTCAAGATGATCTCAGGAGACGGGGGAGCAGTAAAAAAATAACAACTTCAAAGAGAGAGAGAGTAGTGTTTTAAAGGATAGACTAAAGCTATGCAGGATGGCCTTGGCAACTTGATTAGGAGGTGTATTTGTAATGGGAATCCTGGCCTTGCTTACTCACAGATTTTGCTTTATCATTTAGGTTAATAGGCTACTAATTCAAAACCAGCTGTAAACAGGACTGCCTATGAAAAAAATTAACACTGCCTGCCTGTGGAATTTAAGGATATATAATAAAAATAATCATAAAACCAAAGAACCCTGGGTTTTTCATCAGACAAAAATATTTGTCATTGAAAATTCTGCTTAAAAAAATAGCACCTAAAATTGGAAAACTCCTCAAAACCTTATATCCTAAACAGCCTCAGCAACTTTAATTTCATATCCCAGCACAAGTTGCATTTGCAATACATATATTAATGGTGTTTAATTGGATTTATTTTTCCACACTAGGTTCCCAATGGCCTACTTTACTCCTTTCCTCAGCTCCTTGAATGTTATTTACAAATCACTCTCTGGGATTTAATTTTAATGGTAGCCTAATTTCTACCTCTCTCCTCATTTTTTTTTGTAGGTACTTTTCTTTAATTGTATTTGTGGATTTGCCTTTTAAATAGGCAGTTGTGACTACATCCTGAACCTGAATAAGTTGCCAAGAGCAGAGCTTGATTTGAAAACGGCAGAGTGGTTAAATGGAGCTGGTGTAACACCCAGCATTTATTGTTCTTTTCATCGCAGTACCTGCAGGTGCTTTGTTCAAGCAGGTGCTCTTTTGCAAAACAACGTGGGTTCCTAATAACACTCTACCCCAAAGCTCTGCGCAGACATTAACAATTTAGGTCTCTGAGCATCCCATGAGTTGAGTGCATCTTCATCATATGGCAGTAAAACAAAGATACTGAGGAGCTCTAGGCCAAGATTTTTTAAAGTGAACGCAGGGACTTGCTGTCTTACTGTTGATTTAGTTTCAAACACCACTTTCAAATACCGCAGCCTGCTTTCTGGAAATGCCTGGTCTCTGTGCTTTATCAGAATCTCAAGGTCACAACCAAGCCCCAAGTCTCATGTGGATGTTGGGGCAACAATGCCAGGACCTGAGGCATGACTGGGCAGCACAGACACAACATCCAGACTCTGTTTTCTGGTGGGAAAAACACACAGACTCTGTTTTGCCTTCACACCTTCTTCCCTTGGAATAAAGCAGACAGTAACACCTCACCATGCCTCTTGACATGCTCTCTGCATCAAATGCAGGACTACGTGACTGGCAGACTTGGAACAGTGTGATAAAAGATTCAGAAAACAATGTGTTTTCCTGTGGATGCAGTTGCATCTAGTTGCACAACTAGAATGAAAAAACCTTCTGGTAGCATTTTCATTTTTAGCTTTTCACTTGTCCCTTCTACTGTCTCTGCAAAATTTTAGCTTTGGTTATGCTTTTGATCCAAATCTGAACAAGTGGGCAAAGACAGCTTAGGATGGAAATATATATTATGTGTAGATCTGCAGACAAATTGAATCTCTCTGAAAACTGTCCAGACCTGCATGACAACACAATGTCACTGCTCAAAGCTTGGCTAAAGGTTGGTTGTTGCTGTTCCATTGATTGTTTCTTTGAAAAGAGAGGGGGAAAGAGGAAGGATGAGGAAGGTGAGCAGAAAAGACAAAATGACATGTAAATGAAAAGGGAAAGCCCTTATTTTCCTGCATTTCTGAGCCATTTTGCCCATCACTAACTCTGAGCATTTGTCAAGATGACGGAGAATGACCCGGCTAAAGAGCTACTTCAACATAAAACATATACTGACCTGGAAAAGGATTGGGGAGTGTGGGTAAAACTCGTTCTAAGGGGGGAAAAAAAACAATAAGCAACATGCAGGAGAAAAGGATAAGCCACTTTTCACACCAAGCAAGCAGCAGATACAAACCTGATGGAGTTGTCCATCCCCAAATTAGATGAACTAGATGAACTAGAGTAGGTTTCATATACAGAGCGTTTTGCTAGCAACACGCCTAATACACATCAACAACCCCTGGGACTGGGAGTCAGAGAGAAGTCATTTGAAAAACTAAACAAATAACAGCCACACAGCAAGAGGGATTAAGCATCTGCAGTGAAGGTAATTGGAGTTGATGGGCCATATCTTCCCTCTGACTTTCAAGACCACTCATGTCATCATTCTACAATTCTTCTTAGCTACACCTCTTTTTGGAAGCTAGTCTTGGAAGAGAGGTGCGTTGTGGAAGTCCTCCATGGGTAGTTGCTGCCTTCCTAGAACCTTCTCCACAATGGATTTCTTCCCAGTGACAGGTCCCCTGAGGATCTGTGCATGGGAGCAATCACCGTGCAGAATCCTTCTTTAGAGTTTTGTTCCTCAGAAAGGAACAGAGTTTTTGCACTCATCTTAATCCACTTGTACCCAGAGCCTGCTGTCTTGTTTATAGGGTTTTTACATGTCCTCATTATATGTCACAGCAGGACTTTGTTGTACGTCACTGCTGACTTCACAGTTTGCTTCTTCCACGAAAGGATCCCAAAAGAATTGCACAGACAGTATCAGAGACTTGAGTCTGAGGCTAACAGTAGTGTTAATTCTGCTTCACAGATGGTGCAGTTGATGCACAGAGCAAGGAAGCAATTTGCCCACGGTCAAATGCTGAACTGTTGGCAGACCCAGGCATACAACCAAGAATACAAGGTCCCCAGGCTTGACTCTGATCGCTGGGTCTCCTTTCATTGCCTTCAGAACTTGCTGGATGCCTTGTACTGACTGAGACAAGTTCCTACTCATGGACTGATCCATAGGTACACAGACATTTAGCTGCAACAGATGGTAGGCCTGGGACAATGAGTGGTCTTCTGGCTTACCTGCTAAAATCACTGCTGATGGACATAGAGCTTTGCAGGATACACAGTAGTCCACTATCATTCTCTGATCAACCCAGGCCCAGCTATTTGGAGACTAATGCTCTTTATATTGTATCCTTGGTGCAAAGAGTAAGTTTCTGCCTTGCTGGAGCCCATAAGGATGTAGCAGGTCAGGCTGATCCCTGTGACACTGGCAGAACTTCTGCCCTCGTGGTGGTAATGGAGTTGTTAGAATCCGCAGCAGGCACAGGGGAGATCAAATACAAGTCTAGCCTGGATCTCTGTGTTTATGTAGCAACAGGGGACTATTGTTCTGCGAAAGCAGGCTGTTGTGCTGACAAGACTTCCTTGTTATTTAGTTTGGTTAAATAACTCAACTCCCCTTTACCTTCTTCCTGCACAGCAGGCTACAGGCTGCACAGCATAAGCAGTTAAAGCAAAGCACTACGGCCTCATTATCATGCTGCTTTCTATTCAAGGACTCTACCTCTGTTCCCCTCACCCACTGTGTGCTGCTTTTATTGCTCCACCCTGGCTCATTAGCAGTGTCTCAGCCTTGCCCCGTCTGACTGTCACCCCAAACCACTTTCCCTGTCTCCTGAGTCTCCCCGTTAGTGACAGCTGGGGGGAAGACACAGGGTTTGCACTAAGAACCACTAAGAGGGATTTCAGCCCCAGTTAACACTCCAAACCCTCACAGCAACCACTGTAAGCAAATGCTCAAGCACAAGTTAGAAGGAGGGGTGTCAGCCTGTGCACACAGCCAGCGCTTGTGCCAGGACACTAATGAATAAGGACAAGTTAGAGGCCAGTGCCAGCTCACTTTAGGAACGTGCCCCTCTGCAATCAAACCAGCTGGACTCTACCGAGCTGAAGCCTCTCGAGGAGGCAGGGGTGGGATCCCGCTTGCTGCTGCTTGTAGTTGGTACAGGCCTTGCCAGCAGCTGCTTCACCTCCGTGTTTTCCAGTTCCCCAAAGGATGCAGATGATATGGCATCTGCTGAGGTGCCAGTCTCCTATAACTGAGACAACTTAGCCAGCAGGACTGCATCAGGATGTGCAGCACTGCTCTGTTGTCTCCTGTTTCATCCTATGGGAAGGGCTAGCTCTGCAGGAGGAGGAAGTCACTAATTTGGAAAAGCTTTCATTTCTTTTCTCTGCCTTGCTAGAATGCACCTGCTTCTGTGTGCCTGTAGTGGAGGTGTGTGGGCTTGATTATACATCACAAAGGTGCATGCCTATGTATACATACTCACCTGCACATAAACCTATGTATCTGTGTTCCTACAAGAAATGTGTATCTGCTGTATATTTATATATACTTATATATAAACATATACACTTCTGGGTAGCATGGGTTAAGATACAAATGGTGACTTTTACTTATAATGCTTTTCATAGCACTCTGTTAGATGAGTAAAACAAAAAGAAAACATGTTCCCTACCTCCTAATACACTTGGAGGTAAAACCCTTTCCCTTCAGTTGTGACATCACTTTTCAGTAGCTCTGTTACTCTGTGATGGCAGCCCTGGCTCTGCCTCTCTGTCAGGTAATTTTCACAGAGATGTGTGTTACTGCCCCTTTCCTAGGTCTCACCATATTTTGTGCTTGGGGCTTACAAACACCCCTAGGCTCTACAGAGCTGAATCGACCTACTGGATCATCACTGCTGCAAAACATGTCCTGCCTCCCAACTCCTCACACCCACAGATGCATGATACAGCTTTCTGTCTTGCATGGGCTTTGGTGCTTGTTAAGCCTGTCCATGAAATAATTCAGCTCAGAACAACAAAAGAAAACATTTGGGGGCATTCTGGGGAGGTGAGCAGTAAAGCTCAGTTACCTTTTCACTGATTTATCAGGTTGATCTGGCTCAGTGGGATGTCCACTGAGTAGCAGAATAAGTGAAACAACGAAACCATGTGGCAGAGAGCAGGGTGAGCAAAAGGAGTGGGGAGGAAGGGATGTCAGCAAGCGATTAGATCGGTTGTATCATCAAACCTAAGTAGCCTGTCTGCAAACATATTCCATATTGCTGTTGAAGACAGGTTCCTGGGTAATTAAACCTTTGTTGTGGCCATTTTTTTGTTATTGTAAACTCAGTCTCCAGGAGTGAGGGGTATTAAATCTCTCCACCTACAGCAGGCAATCCTGCTGCTACATTCTTTAAGGAAGATCACTAGCTATCTATTCATACAGCTCAAGGGAGCTGCTTTTGTATTTTAATGCATCTTCTATCTATGACGTTGACATCTAAGGCACTCAGTCTCTCTGAGAGTTTTTCAGTGCTGGCTGAGATTTCATGAAATGGTAGTCACCCATTTTTCTCTACTGCTAAACTGTTCTTTCACATCACTTTGCTAGCTCCCTGTCTGCCCTCCACCTCAGGCAAAGCTGCCAGTACCTCATTATTAACTCTCTGGTTGTTTCTTCACTTCTTGCTGCCATTCTTTTTTGTGCTGCAATGGGACACTGAGGAACCATCGCTGTACTTACCTCCCTAGTGGGATGTTGCTCTACAGTGAGCTTGTTCTCTATTTAAAAAGGAAATAAAATCTCTGATTCCAGGGATGAAAAACACTCCCAAGTGTTTGAGTATCTGCTGTACCTTGCAAAAGCTGCTTTATTTTTCTGTCTGGATATGTGGCTGGGAGTGTGCATTACCTGTTCTTTCAGCTACTGTGTGATCACTACAGCATTTTTTTCATCTGGGCTTGTAGGGTTTTTTCAGCTGCATTCTTTATCTTTATGAAGCTGGATTCCTTTCACTCATTTCCCCCCTTTACCTTCAAAATACCATCTGTAGTCTGCCTGAATTTGTGTTTTTCTCTCTCTTGTCTTCCATGCTAACTAGAAGAACAGATTTCCTGAAACATTGTGAAGCAAGTGCAAACTAAAGAAACAGGGATTAACCAAGCAACAAAAAACAAGTTAGAAAGAGTCCACTGAAAATCATCGAACCTGTACCTCTTGTGAAGTTTGCTAGCATTCTCCAGCATACATAGGCCTTGCATTTCTAAGGTAAAAATGATAAACAAAATCCAGCAATTTGAAAGAAGGAAAGTGTTCTTCATAAACATCAAAAGGGGGATAAAATAGGATCCTTGGTGCTGCAAGCCATCTTTAATAGTTGCCACATCTCCTCCTGTAATAGTTAATGGCAACTTCGCAAGATTTCCTTGGGTCTCTTACAGGTTCTTCCACTCATTTTATGACCATGGGTAAACCACTTCTTCACTCTGTACCTTGGCTTCCTACTGCAAAACGATGCTAATAACACTCAACCATTTCTAAATAACTTGTGATATTAAAATATTCATTGCTAGCAAATCTTTTGAGATCCTTTGAGGTGAAGTTCTGAAGTCATGCAAAATGCTTTTCTAGCAAAACTAACCCCCCAGCTAAAATCATATGTGCATACATACATTATTGAATTTCATCTTATATTTTGTTTCAGTGATACAGTTCTTCTGTGTAACAGGAACCAAGAGAGAGGGCCAAATTTAGAATTCAGTCACAAATAATGGATTCTAAACTTAGAATTATATTAATATCAGCAAGAACAAATCTGGAGTATTTGAAAATTACGTTCCAGATTGCTGCCTGAGGATTTTATTTGAATCTCATGACAGTCACAAGACCACGGTGAAAAGAATTTCAAAGTAGAAATTTGCTTTGTGTGCTGCAATGCTACAGGAAATCAAATATATATTCTTTTATGATAATATCTGTTCTTTAGAAAATAACCTCCACAAAATACACTGAAATTTGCAAAAATTCAAACTGCCATGAAATAAATCCAAGGGTGGTAAACAGGGAATACAAACAGATTTATCCTTTTGCACTGCCTCTGTTAAAAATAACCAAACCAAAACATTGGTTTTTTTATAGTGGTTTGATTAATCTGATCACACAGAGTAGAAACTAGACTAAACTGCATCCCATACTGACTGCTTCACACATCTTATCTTTTTTTCTGTTTAAAAGGACATGCAGGTCATTGCATGAGTGTTTTAATTCAGTTTAGGACCATGCAAGGAATACTGCCATAAGTCACTTTTGTGTCTACATGTCCCTCGTGTGAGTGGGTAATTTCGCTGCAGTCTATCTCTAGTGGCAATAACAACATGTGGTCCAAGTCTAGGCCTGGAATAGAGAACTGCATTTTGAATACACCATGGGTTGTACACGTGGATGGTAGATGAGAAGCAGGGGCTTTGTTTACGGGCAGGTTTGAATCAGCTGCAGAATTCAAAACCAGCAGGTAATTCTGCTCTAGAATTTTGTCTAGTCCCAGATTCTGTGTCTTTACAGTTACTAAGACAAACTTAGTAATTGAAAGGTATCAGAATGAGATCCAAAGAATCTTATTCCATATTTCATCTGTTTACCTTTCCCCCCATGTTCCCTCTGATATGCACGTTTAAAGTCATTCTGTCTTTTCTCATTTCTTTCTCTTCCATTTTCAAACCAATTTCTCTTTTTCTTGACTGTCTCTTGTTCTCCTCAGGCTCAGTGGCTAGTTCTCTCCATCTCTCTGAATTACTTGTCATTTCTCAGCTGCCATGGATCCTCTGAGCCCTGGCCTTCTGTCTACTTATTAAAGGGGCTGTCATTCTAAGGGATTTTTTGTTTCCAGCTTTAAAACAAACATGCTTTTATTATTTTAACAAAATCTGACTTCACCAAAGCCAGTCAATCAAAGGGCTTGCCTGTAAACCTTTTAATTTGGCTGTGTTTGTGTTTCACAGCAAGTATGAACATGTAGGTATCTGAAGCAGAGCGCTGAAAGCCTCCATGGCTGGAGGTTTGAGAGGCCTGGATCGTCAAGTGGATGCCTTCCTGAGTTTTGGTCACCATGTGCTTTCTACACAGCCTGGTCTTTGTGAGAGCCTCCCTTTACCCTCTCCCATACTTACTGTAAAGGTATAGGCTGGCGTTTGTGACTCCCAGCTTGTTGGCAGCCACGCAGGTGTAGTTTCCATAGTGTTCCTCAGTGACGTTGGCCACCATCAGCAGAGACTGGCTCCCCGTGCTCTTTATCTCCAGACCATTGGCGCTGTTTATCCTGGGAAGGCAGAAGAAGAGGTGTATAGTGCAATGGTAGCTGTGTATTGGGAAGGAAATCACTGCCCAGCAGGCAGTAAACCAAAGTCTTTCAGTCCAGCTGGAAGGGGAGGATAGAGGGAGGCAGGAAGGAGATGTGAGAAGACAGAGATCAAAGAAGGCATGTATGGAAAACAGAAGAGAATGAAAGGAAGTAAGAGTGCAGTGGGGTGAAATGCCACCAGTAAGGCAGTGGAAAAGCAAAAACAAACAAGCGAAGGGAGGAAGCATTTTTCCAGCACAGACTCACACTGGAAATGAACACACCATGGGCAGCTGAAAGCTAGTACATACTTGAACCAATTCATGTGTTCCAATATGTGCATATGCCAAAGCTAAGTCACCCCTGAGCCTGTAATGTCATGTTAAAAACTAGAGGAATAATGTAACCTTCTTAATACCAGGTAAATGCTCAGGTATAAAGGACAGATCCCTTTTCTCTTCTCATTTACTCTCATATGCAAATCTAAGAGGCTCAGGTCACACAGATGGGGGAATCACACCTCCCCCAGCAGCTCCTTCCCCTAGATGAAGGCACCTAGAGTGGCATTACCTAATTGGAGACTAACACTACCTACCTTTTTATCTGTAACATGGGCTACTTAATGCATGAACAGTCTTAATTGTGTATTGGCCCATGGCTGACTTAAAGGGAAGAGCTCCACCCTCTGCACCTCCTTCAGCATCCCCAGCGTAGAGAGGGACTGCATCCTCCAGCCTTGACCAGGCTGGTTCTGCTGAGTCTGATGGGTCATTGTGACTCAAATGGATTGTAAGGAGCAATTTGTTTGACAAGAAGAGTTAGGGAGGACAATAGGTGATGCTCTAAGGATCCTCTATTGATTAGATGGAAAAGGAGAGAAGAAAAGAGGTGAGCTAAAGGTCTTACCTGGTATCATCTCTGTACCATTCGAAATCGGGTGTGGGCACTGCTGATGCCTCACACCGGAGTAAGGCTTGTCGTCCCGTGGCCGCTTCATTGCTCTTGGACTCTGTGATGGTAGGAGGGTCTGCAGGAAGGAAACGTGTGGTCACTTAACACACTTCCAGGTGTGACAAAACAACAAAACTATGTCAGGGATGGCTTCCTCGTGCAAACTGTTTGAGCTAGTGGAGGCCCACAGCTGCTGCTTGCTGTGGCACATGTTCCCCCCTGCTCCTCTGCAGAACATGTGCTCTTTGAACTCTCCCTAATATACCACGTTAGCATCGCTCCTTATACGTGCTTCTCTTCAGCACTGCTGAATAAAATTCTGTCATAAATGCATAGGCATACACAGGCAGAGTTGAGGTTAATGATGGACTTCTGTAATTTATGATTATTTACCTATGGATCTTTAGTTCACATGGACTCATCAGAGATAACATGAGAGAAAGACTTCATCAAGGGTAAAGGAAGACAGTAAAAGTAAAGGAATAGAGGAATTTAACACTAGTATGAAAATTATTTTCCATACAAACTCTTTGTCTAATGCCAAAAGTATAATAAGCGAGGACTGAGGCAACATGTATGATATGGAAATACATTCACAGCTTAAAAGGGAAGAGCTTTAGGAGAAGCTGTGTGTGCAACTTTGAGAGACAGATAACTTGTTGAGACACTTCCCTTAGGTATCCAAGGTTAAAAATCCTGCTCAGGTGTTCCTGGACATCATGCTTTGTGACAAGCTTCAAGAAGGCTTGCTTGTGACTGTTCTGCATGAAGCTTGCCCTCAGCCTAGCATGGTGTTCCCACCTCTGCTTAATTTGTAGCCATGGGCAAACCAGACTTGGAAAACATATTGGTGGGCCCTGCTTGAGCTAGGTCTCAGTACTGGCTGAGTACCAGGTTGGGTAGGCACCAGCACCTTCAATCCCAGCCCCATGTTCAAAATATTAAGCGATAAAGCTTTACACCTTAAAAGGCAGAAATATTTCCCCTTGGCTGCTGAGAGGGATCAAGGAATAAATGCCTTGTCTCTCATCACTAATACTTCCACACCCTGAGATTACGGGACTGCAACTCAGACAGCTACTTTCCTGAGACTTGGGTTACCATAAAGCGCACTCTGTGTGTGCAGAGTACAGCTCTGCCATCTGTCCACCTCGGCACTGAAAGGCCAAAGAAAAAGGCAAGCAAAATGGACTGTGCCAGCCAAAGAAAAAAAGTAATTCTGTTTGGAAAATGTATGGAAGGAAATTTGTTTGTGAACACATTAGCCATCTCAATGTGATCCCTTTCCTGACCTTAATCGGGATTTTATGCAGGGCTTTAGGGATATTGCAGTGCGCCCTCTAACATCATAAATATTAATAAGTGTACATAAATAGGATCCTACATTCAAAGGCTGTGGGTTCACGCAAATATTTTAATTTGAAAAGGAGGAGGGATAATAAAAGGATAGTGAAGGTGATTTTTTTAACCATCCTCCTTTGAATTTTGGTTCAAGCAGTATATCTTTTTGCTGTCTAAAGTGAGACAAGAGTTTTCCATTTCACTGAATCTGGCACAAGAGGTGAGTTACAGAATGAACAGGCACCTTTCTATGGGCTTAGAAAATGATCCCAGCAGGCACCTGCTCCCCAGCCTGCTGCCAGAGAGCCCTTGCTCTGAGCAGTCCCTATCTTCAGCCCTTTAAAATGTTGCTGCAGTGCTCTCCCATGAGGAGGGGCAGGTGGGAGCCCCGAATAAACCAGCCTATTGCATTCAGAAAGCAGACACTCTGCATGTAGCTGTTTCCTGCCCGGGAAGCCAGGAATGGGTTCCCTTTGGCTGTTTTCCTTTCACTCTGCTCTAGGCCTCAGTTTCCCTGTCTGTGATGTGCTGCAAGGGCCATTACTCAGGAAGCCTGAAGGTGGTAGTGTGAGACCAAAGCAAAGCGAGATGCTCTCTCCTGTGGTCTGAGCTGGCAAGCTACCTGCTCCACAGCAGATCATAAAAGATAGCCAAGAAGCTCCATAGGTTGGGCAGATCCCATTTTTCAAACTTACTGTAGTTTTTGCACTTTCTGCTATTTGTGGTGTTGTTTAAGGAAGCAGGTTCAGGAAAGATGTATGCAAATGTCTAGCTTTCACTCCTCAAACAGTACTGACTTTTTCCTGCATGGTCCTCATGATCTCTTAGATTTTATTTCCCTTTCTTTCAAAGGAAAAGATCTGTCCTGATGGAATTTTAAGTTGCTTACATTACAAATTGCACCACATATTAATATTACAATACTGTATCACATTATATTTTCATATATTCCAACAGTTAAAATGTTTAAGCTCTTACTGTGGCATAGTTATTATGTGTTGAAACTAAGTCAAAATCAAACATTCTGACTTTATACAAACAATCTGTTTCAAACACATTAAAAGCATCGTTGAAATTATGTTTCACAGAAATATTTGAAAATATTAATTGGTTATCATGGAATGTCTCCGTTTTATAAATTCAGCTGTTTTTGACAAGAAAAAACCCTCAACACTTTTAGTGCAGAAAATCTGCTACTACAGTTCATATTTATGCCAAATTTGTCCCATGAAGCAGCTGGTATTAAACCACTGCCACCCAGTTTCTAAGGGAATTATAAAAAACTGTGGATTCCGAAGAAGCTGCAGGGAGCCTATAACCTTGACTTCTAAGCAAGACAGAAAAGTTGATCTGATGTGATGGCCCAAAGAGAAAGAAACAGACAAAGAGCAAGAATGGTATTAAAAGGTGCTATAATCACCTGTGGTGTCAAATTAAGACTGGGATGGGCTGAAACACTTATTGCCATCAGGTCTCTGCCCTAACCCACTCCCTGACAGTTCTGTGAATCAAGACCATGCACCCTGAAACATGCCTGCAATCATCTCCAATTGCAATTTAAGGTAGTATTCTGGTGTATAAAATGAAAAAGGTCAAGAGACAATGTATCTCCTATTTATCCATCCCTGCTGCAAAGTTTTTAGCCTCCAAGTAAGGAAATAGAGCAGGTAGATGCAGATATTCACTTTAAATCACTCCAGTGCCAAATATAAGTGCCATGCAAGTACGGAGGTGGACATATACACGCGTAGGATTACACGAGTAACATCAGTCTGAAATATCTTGTGTCACTGTGAGAGGAACAGGCCAGCTGAGTGAAGTGGACATCTGTCTAAGCGTATATGGGCAATGGGATCCAGGCCCCACTCACACAGGTGTGGATGGAAGCCACATAGCTAACTATGCCTCTCAGTGCTTTTAGGTATACTGCTGTATCCTTTGGTTAAGGCCCTTTCTGTATTACGTTGGTGCATGGAAGGTCTCTTAGACAGAGCTTGAAACCAGCACAGAATTAAAGTTTTTGTACCCTCTCCTTAACACGTGCCTCTACCGCATGTCCCCTGGGCTGTGATACCCGTGAAGGCACTGCTGAGATGGCTGGGTGCAGGGAGGCGTGTGTTTGCTCTGAGCCAGCTGAACCCTCCCTTATCTCTCCTTGCTGCCTTGCTGAAGCTTCTCTTCACGCTACTGTTCACTCGAATATCAATGAGTGAAAACAAGGCATTGCCAGCGTTTCTGAGGGGAGAGACAGGGGCAACTCACAGCTCCTCTCTCTCTCCTTCTCTGTTTCTCTCTATCCCCGCAGCCCCCCCCGCCTTTCTTATATATTACCAGGTTTAAAGCACAAACTATACCCTGTGGCAAGTGTGTGCAGATAGTTTTCTCAGCTCCCTCCCTTTCAGATTGTATAATATAAACCCAGAAACGCTTCTCTATTTATCCTGAAGTGACCCCCACCTGTGGGCAAAGTTCTCCCCATTGACCTGTTCCAGCTGCAATGTACTCACAGTTCACAGTGACCCGGACTTGCTTGACGTCTGCTGAGGCAACCTCGTTGGCAGCTTTGCATTCATACTTGCCCGACTGCTCTCGTGTGATACCCAGGATCTCCAGATACTCTTCCTCGCCTTCGAACTCTCTGCCTGGTAGTGCAGAAAAATACAGGGGATGGTTCTGTTAGGCTTTCAGATTTGAGAAACCTCCGGCTGAATAGCTATGGAGGAACAATCACAACAGGGATTCTGCAAATAAGCAACAGTCATGAGCGATTTAAAAGTTATTTCAGAAGTCATATCAGCAAGATACTAGCATTTTTATTAGTTATGGAAAACTGAAAATCTGGAAGGAAGCATACAAGTAAGTACCAACACATCCCATCTCACAGGCTGCCCAGGCCAAGAAGCAAAATCTCCACCGCTTGAGATCAGATAAGTTCACTAGTGTGATGGCTGAGCACCGGGAGAGCTCAGTCAGACTGTGGCTGATTGCTACTTCAAGCAGGGCTAGCTGGGTCCTCAGATGTGGTGGTGTTTTGTCAGCACCCTTTTCTCCACTGCAAAACTGTGAAAAACGTCTTTCTGTCTCTCAGAGCAACTACCACCCTGAAGTGCCATCGATCAGATAAAGACGCTGTTAAACACAGCCCAACTGAGAGAAACAAAGTGTAATTTGATCCGTGGAGACCAATAATCATCACGCATCCCTGATCTACTGTACATTTGAAATGGACATATTTAAACTGTGCTGCCTCACTAACACAATTGTGAAAACAGCAGCTCGAGTGTCAGTCGGGGTTATGAACAGGAGCAGGAATTGGGAGAGGTCTGTGGCCTTGCTTTTAATTCACTGTGCGACCTTGGGCGAGTCAGTCCTTCTCTCTCCCTCTGTGAACTGCAGCTAATAGCCCCCCTCTCTCATCACCTCCTGGTCAGAGAAGGGCGGTGAGGTTAACCCATGTAAAACACATTAGATTTGCTGGAGGAAAGTTGCTAGGGAAGCATGAAATATTAGGATTATTATATCTACTCTATTCCTTCCAAAAGCAAAGTAAGGTTCCTCTTGGAAAGAACCTGAACCACATTCGTTCCTCTGAGAGGGCCGTGAGCACTGCTCTACAGAATGTGGAAGCACCAGTCCGTGTATGTGTATGTTTGGAGAAAGCATCCCCCAACCCTCAAAGGGTAAAGCCAGATTAAAAAAAAAAAAAAAAAAAAGTCACCTCACAAGGTCTCATGTTCAGGTTCCTCAGAGAGCAGATTTTTCCAAAGCAAGTCTCTGCCCAGAAGACATTTTTTGCTCAGCAGGTGCCAAGCACTTCTGAAACCCTGCCCACTTCACTAAGTGCTTACAGTTGTTTGATGGAGTTCAAATAGTACCTGCAAGGATGGGGCTGTTCCCCTTGGCTTATGGCACTGTGTGAAAGCAGTGGGTAAGCTCTGTCTTTGGAGCTGAAGTTGCCACGGAGCCACCTGCAATAGATCCCACAACAGAGGCACAGACTTGCTGCCGCATGTTGGCCAGGTCAGGCTGGCCACACACACTGGCAATGCCAGTTTCGTGCATTTCCCTCCTGCGTCAGAGAGGGACTTCAGAAACTTCAAAATCTGCTCAGAACTCTGTCCCTTATACAATTATTTTTGTCTTTTTTATTTTCTTTTCCCAGGCAATTTTCAGAATCATTCTAGGGGAAAACCACCCCCCCCGTCACGGAGACTCAGTGTGAAAACAGCAGTGTACCTATTAAACTCATGTAGTGACAAGGTTTCCCCTCTCTTTCAGCAGGGCTAACCAGCAGTCCCTTTTTTGAGCTCCTACCAGATGTTCAGGTGAGTGGAAATCTCATTGCTATGTCTAAAACTTACAACTGCTTTGGTTTTTGTATCCCCTGATAGCCTGCTGAAGGGCCTTCCTGCATGGGAGCAGCATATTGTACGAAGGAGGGAGGCAAAGTTGGCTCCTTTTGGGCACCTGGTGCTCTGGGACATGGCTTTCTGTCCTCTGCTGTGCACTGGGGCTGATGCTGTGGAAAGTCAGTGGAGAAGGAAGCAAGGGGGGATTTTCACAGGTATTATTTATTGCTGTAACTCATGAATATGTTATGGAACCCTGTAGGACCAAAGTTAGGTGAGTCACAACACTGTGGAAAGTACTTCTGTCACCACCTAACCCTTTCCCCAACCTCAAGGCAGGACACATGGGTCATGTCAGGGACACAGCCATCCTCTGCCCTCCAGCGGCAGCCACTCCAGACAATCTGTTCCTGTGCTTTGCTGTCCTTACCCTGAAGTTTCCCTGAAGTTTGACCTGAGTCTCCCTTGCTGCAATTTAAAGCTATTATTTTTGTCTTAGCCACTACAGACAAAAAGAACAAATCATTCCCTCCTTCCCTGCAATAGCCTTTTATCAACTTTTAAATCACTTATGTTCCTCCCTCAGTTGTCATCTTTTTTTTTTTTGGCTGAACATTGCCAGGGTCTTTCAACCTTCCTTTGTAGGTGAGGTTTTTTTTAGACCCTTGATCATTCTTGTTCTTTGCTTTTAGACCCCTCTGACAGGTTCACATTTTTCTGGCAGTGCAATATCCCAAACCCAACACAGCATTTCAGATGAGGTGTTACCAGGGCTGAACACAGATAAAGGACTGGGTCACAACTTCTGCACTGTGCTGCTGTCTGTATAGCAAATATGCTGTTTGTGTTTTTGCTATAGCATGAATCATTTCTGTTTGGGAACCCTTTTAATTCCCAGATCCTCTTATGACATATTGCTACCTGCTAATAAAGCACTTTTAAAATCCCACCCCCAATTTAAACTGACAACCAACACTACCCTCCTTTCGCAGCAGCACTCCCAGTTGGTAGGTTAGTCAGTTGACTGGAGAGTTAATCAGACATCAGGGAAAGACTCAGAAAGAAAAGGTTAAAACGTAATTTGCCTCTGTTTTGCAAATCGTTTGCTCTGCCATTCTGCCTTGTTTATACACAGGGTTCATTCCAAGTGGGGCCGGCTTCTCCTGCAATTTGCCCTTGTCACAAGACTGTCACCGTAATGAAAACAGGGTTGAGGGTGACTTAACCAGCTCTAATGGAGTGGCACGCTCATTAAGGGTGCTGTTCAGTCTGTCTGTCAGAGAACCACATCAATGAAGTGCCAAAGTATCCTAAAAGGGTACATACTTTCTCAGTGGAAGATGGTTTTTAGCTTCTCCCCTGCATACATACATGCACTTAAAATGTACTGTGTACCCTGTCCAGCAGGAGAGCATTTACAGCTGCGCAAAACCCCTCCCCAAGACATGATGAGTTGCTGGTTTGCCCAGTGGAGTTCTCTAGAGGTATGTGAAAGGCAGGGCTTCTGTTTTAAAGGGCATGCCAAAGACATCAATAACCCTATTCAGTTCCTCGTTCCCCTGCTCCAGGACACAGATACAAGCACAACACTTCAGGGAAAGTTTCTGTGACAGTCTCTTGCTGAAATAGTGGTAGCACTGTTCTTGTCCCTGCACTGGTGACCCTGGGCATCAACATTTTGCTACAAGAACTTAGCTGCTCTCACTTGCAAGACAGACCCTTTTGCTTGCTGCCATGTCCCCTCTAAGAGTACATTAACCATTTCTAACAAAAAGCATTTATATAAAATCGAGGTGTCGTAGTAAAGACCAGGGAGAGGATAGATGTATCACAGTGTGTTAGAGAAATGTCAGGTTGTGATATCTTGCAGAGAGCTGTAGAGATGTTTTCACTAATTCACTTTGTCAGCCAGATTAGGTGAGTCATATTAACTCTAACCTCGAAGGCAAACAGGGAGTAGTGGGTGCAGGAACAGAGCTTTATCCATCGAGTGAATTTACAAATGTTTCTGCGCAGGAGTCAGCTTTGTCAGGGAACTGATGGTTGTCACTATGCAGTTTATCAAAGCAGGGAGGGAGAAGGCTTGGACAACGCTCCTTGGTACTGATAACAATAAACATATTCTATTAGGTGAACAGAGGGATTGCCAGCTTCTGGCAAGCAAGCCACTCCATTCCCATTAAGAGCAGACATTTGCCTTGAGCATGTTTTCAAGGGATGAAATTCTGACCCTTCTGCCAAAGCTTCCTCACTGACAAGGGCTGTCTCCTGGCTGTTCTGCCTGGTTCAGTACAGCCCTTTCCCAGTGGGGGGCCTTTCAGGTTTCCCTAAGGGGATGACTATTCACACAGTGCAGCTCTTCTCATCCCAGATCATCCCCTCCTGTGACTTTAGGCAACCTGCTTCCCTGCAGGTTTTTTGCCTTTCACACGTTCATAGTTAGCTTGGTTGGTTGTTGCAGCCCCATTAAACACCATCTTGCCAAGCTGTAGCTCCTTAACTCTGTCCCAGTAAATCAGAAAGAGGAGCTTTCTGCTCTGGAGGCTGGAGATAGAGAGAGTACGAGCCTGGGAGGCTTGACAATCAAACCAATAGGGAACGACCCTGAGCAGCACGAGCCAGGCGGCTGCTGCTGCTTGGAGCTGGCAGAACCCTTTTTGCAGAGGGATCTGCGGCAGGCGGCTTTGATGTGTGCAGGAGGAAGGCTTTGAAGGCCCGCTTGCCTCAGCCACATTTCCTATCCCCTGGCTTCCTAATTGGACCCAGTAAATAATGAACCCAAAGAGCAAATCTGCTCAGCTGTGCTAGCCTGCTGGCAAGCAGGCCCCCTCTCCCCCTGCCCTCTGGAAACAGCCTTGTGCAACCCCACTGGCTCTGCATATTGTCTTTGTTGGTGTGCACACCTGCCTATGCTCTTGTGTGTGTATATATATATATGTATAAATAATATTACGTGTTTTATAGACTATGTATTTAATTTTTACATCTATAAATCCCACTATGTGTGCAGAAACACAGACTGACATGCTCCCCACATACTTATGGGCTCTTCTGACCTCCGCCCGAATGACCCCTTTCACTGCCACACACCATTACTCTTTCCTCAAAGGCTAAATGCTTTCTTTCTAGAGATGACACGCACCCAGACAAAAATCCCACTTATACTGTGTACAGACAGCTCTTTCAGGTAGTCAGGGGGCCAGCAATGCATTCAGTCACGTGGTCTACCAGAGAGGCCTTTCCCTTCACGCCCTAGTTCTTTACATCTCCAAAGGGGAAGCTAATTTGCAGAG